AGGGAGAAGGAGACTGCTTAAGAGGGAAGTCACACTCCAGGGGCACCAGGAATACCCTATTTCTTTTTTTTTTTTTTATAATTTTATTTTTTATAAATATATATATATATATATTTTTCCCCCCCAGGGGTACAGGTCTGTGAATCTCCACGTTTACAAACTTCACAGCACTCACCATAGCACATACCCTACCCAATGTCCATAACCCACCCCCCAACCCCCCTCTGCCCAGCAACCCTCAGTTTGTTTTGTGAGATTAAGAGTCACTTATGGTTTGTCTCCCTCCCAATCCCAACTTGTTTCATTTACTCTTCTCCTACCACATTAACCCATGTTGCATCTCCTCTCCCTCATATCAGGGAGATCATATGATAGTTGTCTTTCTCTGATTGACTTATTTCGCTAAGCATGATACCCTCTAGTTCCATCCAAGTTGTCGCAAATGGCAAGATTTCATTTCTTTTGATGGCTGCATAGTATTCCATTGTATATATATACCACATCTTCTTTATCCATTCGTCTGTTGATGGACATCTAGGTTCTTTCCATAGTTTGGCTATTGTAGACATTGCTGCTATAAACATTCGGGTGCACGTGCCCCTTCGGATCACTACGTTTGTATCTTTAGGGTAAATACCCAGCAGTGCAATTGCTGGGTCATAGGGTAGTTCTATTTTCAACATTTTGAGGAACCTCCATGCTGTTTTCCAGAGTGGTTGCACCAGCTTGCATTCCCACCAACAGTGTAGGAGGGTTCCCCTTTCTCCGCATCCTCGCCAGCATCTGTCATTTCCGGACTTGTTAATTTTAGCCATTCTGACTGGTGTGAGGTGGTATCTCATTGTGGTTTTGATTTGTATTTCCCTGATGCCGAGTGATATGGAGCACTTTTTCATGTGTCTGTTGGCCATCTGGATGTCTTCTTTGCAGAAATGTCTGTTCATGTCTTCTGCCCATTTCTTGATTGGATTTTTTGTTCTTTAGGTGTTGAGTTTGCTAAGTTCTTTATAGATTTTGGAGGAATACCCTATTTCTTGATCTGTTTGATGGTTATGTGTAATTATTATTTTGTAATCATATTTATGTTTACATAATTTAGTGTTAAACTTTATAATTTTTAAACTTTGCAATTTTTAAATAATTAGTCTTTAAACTGTATATATACATATACTATGTACTTCCTAAGATACTATGTATCCTCTTTCTCAAAAAATTTCTTTGAGAGAGGCACTGGGTGGCTCAGTTGGTTAAGCATTTGACTGTTGGTTTCAGCTCAGGTTATGATTTCAGGGTCATGAGATCGAGCCCCAAATTAGGCTCTGTGCTCAACTTGGACTCTGCTTAGGATTCTCTCCCCCACCTCCTTTTGCCCTTCACTGCCATGCACAAGCTCTTTCTCTCTAAAATAAATAAAATCCTTTTAAAAAATTTCTGTGAGAAACGAAAGTTGGCAAAAACAAAGAATTAGTATTAAAAACATACAAAGAGGGGCACCTGGGTGGCTCAGTGGGTTAAGCCTCTGCCTTTGGCTCGGGTCGTGGTCCCGGGGTCCTGGGATCGAGCCCCGCATGGGGCTCTCTGCTCAGCGGGGAGCCTGCTTCCCCCCCAACTCCCCCCCCCCCCGCCTGCCTCTCTGCCTACTTGTGATCTCTGTCTGTCAAATAAACAAAATCTTAAAAAAAAAAAATCTTTAAAAAAAAAAACAACAAACACACAAAGAACACCAAAGTTCCTATGAACAAATGATCAGAGAGTATAAACACACAGTTCACCAGACTACACAGACACTGAATAAACTTAAGGGAAAACATTTTCTTTTCTAAGAATTAATAGCACAAAGTAACACTGCATACCGATTAAACCAAAGAGTGCAATACTGCGATAATTTATAAGATAAATCACAATCATGAAGACCTAGTAGCTACATGGGAGTACTTTAATATCGGAAAAACAAAAGAGTTAATTATGAGTACATTATGCTTACAGCTAAGAAATCTGTATAGCTAAAATTTTGAAAGGGCCCATGACAAAGGAAAATAGCTGATGTGGTTGAAAGCCAGAATTATGGGTATAATATTTTCCTTGATACTGTGAATGGGTTTCATTAAGATACAGGAATTTTTAAACAAAGTAAATATAATAGTTCCTTGCAATTCTAGAGAACAAAGTCCATATGTCATAACCCCATGACCTTCCACAAGCTGACTTCAGCATGTGTTTTTCACCCCATGCCAGGCACCATTCTGGGCACTGGAGTAGAGGCAGGCAAGACCCAATTACTCCCCTAGATGAGCTTCTAGGCCGGCAGGAAATGGACATGTGAACAAGTAATTACAACTCAATGAAGTAAGTCCCACAAAACATCTCTTCTTTTAAAAGTCTGTGACTTAACCCAGAAACAGACCCATAAATACGGAGAACAAACTGATGGCTAACAGAGAGGAGGGGTCTGGGGACGGGCAAAATGGGTGAAGGGGGATGGGAGGTCCGGCTTCTAGGCAAGGAATGAACAAGTCACGGGGATGAAAGGTACAGCGCAGGGCATAGAGTCAATGGTATCGTAGTGGCTTTGGGCGGTGACAGGTGGTAGCTACACTTGCAGCAAGCACCGCATGCAGTCTAGAGCTGTCAAATCACTACGTTGTACACCTGAAACGAAGGTAACATTCTGTGCCATCTATACTTCAATTTAAAAAACAAAATGGGCCACTGTGGAGGTGGGGGCAGGTCTATAGCTTCCCAGGTGAAGGAAAATCAGAGAAGCTTTCAAAAGAATACTGAACTGGGTCTTGAAGGGCAGGTGTACAGTTCCAGACGGGGGGTGTGTGAAGGGTGTCCATGGCGCATTTGTGCCAAGTGAAGAGCAGGTGCTTGGAGAAGGAGACTGCTTAAGACATGCTCCCGGCAATGGCGAACCACTAGGGTTTTTAGCATTCCGTTCCCGGGTACTTTGCAATTACTTTGGGCCTCTTTGTTCTATCCTTTCTTCCATTAAAAGAAGTACATAAAAGTATATACAGAGAATAGGTATTATATGTTGGAATGTGTATTTAGTTAAAACTAGTATGAAAAATATAATCGTTTAATTTTAATATATATTTAACCTTACATATTTCAAACATACAAAAAAAAATGATACCCATGTACTCCCCAAACAAATTTAAGAAGTCAAATTCTGTTCTACTCTCTTTCAAAGGCATAAAGTACTTCAAATATATTTCAAATCCCTCCCACTCCTCTTATCTCCTTCCCTTCTCCCTCCTTCACAGATACTACTGACTATCCCCAACTGGACGCATATGATTTCTCTGGATGCTGGACTTTCACTACACACCTAACACCACGGGCTTTGTGTAGGTTTTAAATTCTGGGTTTTCTTATCAGTAAAAAAAAAAAAAGAAAAGAAAAGAAAAAAGAAATAGAACGATGGGCACCTGGGTGGCTCAGTGGGTTAAGTGTCTGCCTTCAGTTCAGGTCATGGTCTCAGGGTCCTGGGATCGAGCCCCACATTGGGCTTTCTGCTCAGCGGGGAGCCTGCTTCCCCCTCTCTCTCTGCCTGCCCTTCTGCCTATTTGTGATCTGTCAAAAAAGTAAAATCTTAAGAAAAAAAAAAAAAAAGAAAGACAGAAAGAAATAGAACGAATATGGTGGCTATCATGGTGATCCGCACTGAAAAGAACTCGAGACCCAGAAATTTTGTTCCCTCTCAGACTATAAGCTACCTTCCAACAGCCGCCTGGCTAACAAAACTTTGGTTCAATTTAGTTCTATTTACATTCCCCCTATGCAATACTTCTGCCTCCCTTCCTTCCCAATTTCTTTTTTTCTTTAAAGATTTTATTTATTTGACAGACAGAGATCACAAGCAGGCAGAGAGGCAGGCAGAAAGAGGGGAAGGGACACAGACTCCCCGCTGGGCAGAGAGCCCGATGCGGGGCTCGATCCCAGGACCCCGGGATCATGACCTGAGCCGAAGAAGGCAGAGCCACCGAGCCACCCAGGCGCCCCGCAATGTTTGACATCTACCCCAGTCTCTGCCGTTACTGCCCCTGAACCCTGACGGGACACAGAAATGCTACTTGTCTGCACTGGTGGCACCAGGAGCAGGCGTGCGCCTCCCCCATCTCAGTCCGTTAAATGTCCAAAATGCTGAGTAACCTGAGGGCACGTGAGGGGTATGGGAGGAAGTCTGGTGTGGAAGACGCCTTGGAGTCAGGCAGCTCTTTTAACACAGGGACAAACTATTGGTGCTTCAGATTCTCCTCGTCAAAAGGAGGGCAGTTTTACCTACTTGGGGTAACTGATAACAGAACCCTTACTCCGTACCAAATACTCCCTGAAGCATTCATTGGCTATATTAAACCATTTAATCCTAACGAAACCTCCAGGATGTGGAAGAGATGATTTCCGCCTTAAGACAGAGGGACACCGAGACAGAGTTTGAATGACGAGTGGACGGTCACGGGGTTCGTACCGGGAGAGCCGGGATTGGATCCAGGCAATGCGACGCAGCCTGTGTCCTCAACCACTCCCCTTCGCGGAGGTGCTGTGGAGCCACACTTGTAAGATTATGGGTCCCGAGCACGTGACACGCAGCGCATCCAAAACCCCGGAGCCCAGCGCGTGCCCGTGGAAGGACACAGGAAGAGGACGAGCTTTGGTCTTGGGGGGCAGGTGGGGAGTGCCAGGGGTCTGGGCTGGAACCCCGGTAGGCACCGGCGCACAGAACCAAACACCGTGGATGCTGGGCCGGCTCTCCCACCGCCCCCCCGGGGCGGCCCCGGCCCCACCCCCGCCTCTCTGTGTGCGGGTCTGCGAACACGCGTGCTTTTCGGCTCTCCTCTCAGGCTACTGGCAGCGACCGAGCACGGCTCCGCGGGCCGCGCCGAACCAGAGCGGGCAACGGAGGAACCTGCGAGCCTTCCTCTTCGGCCCGGGGGCCGGGTCGCGGGAGCTGGGCCAGGCCTCTCCGCCCGTAAGTCCGAGCGCGCCGCACTCACCTGTCCCGCAGGCTCGCAGCGGGCGGTAACCCGGTCCAAACTCCCCGCGCCGCCTCCTCAGCCCCCGCGCAGAGCGCCAGCTCACTTCGCGCCGGAAGCCGGCCGATCCTGATTGGCTGCTTCCTGAGGGAACCGACCAATGCCGTCGCCAACATGGCACCTGTCCCCGCCCCTGGGGCGGGGGCATTCCCAACGCCCAATCAGCGTCCGGAAGTCGAGGTCACGTGACCGCAATTAACCCCCGGGCTTCCGGTACTCTCGGGATCTTTGTGTTCCCTGTGTTTCTTGTTGGTGGAGGCTTTAAATAAGACGGGCTTCTGAAACCGAGAGCTGGGGCGGGAGTGAAAACCCCCGGAGTTTGAGAGGAGCCCGAGACTTGGCAGTTTCCACAGACCAGGCCCAGGCTCTTACCCAATGTTTCTGTGAGGCTTCGGCGGATTCTCCCCTCCACTTCCTTGTAACGCTGGCCTCTGCCCCATCCGAGCTTGCGCGAGCTACAGTACGTTGTCATCGACCGGGAAAGGGGTCGCAAACTCAGGTGCTTTGGGGGACGTGTGCGCTCCCCCGAGTGCGAAGCCACGCTGCTGTTTCCGCTGAGTGTTGCCACGCCGGACTGCGGGCCCTGTGATGCCAGATGTTTTTTCCTACCCCGCTTTCCCCTTCCTTTTCCTCCCTCCCCTTTCTTTCTTCTTTTCTCTAAGAAAAATTGAAAATGTGTTTGTGTGAAATCTGCCGATTTTAAAATGCTACAAAAATAACACGCTGCAGTCAAACAAAACACACGGGGAAAAGCAAAAGCAGGTTTTTAATAGTGAGAAGGCCAAATAGCAGGATAGAGAAAAAGTACAAGGTATGAAAAATCTGGAGAGCTCCGAACACTCAGACTCAAGGGTACTACCCAGAATGGTAAGTAGGATCGTCTCAGAACTCAATGAAGGGTGACACTCAGCTGAAATCGCCTGGGCCACACACTGCCTGAATTTTCCTTTAGCTTTTTTCTTGCCTTTCTCATTTCTGCCTTCCCTAGTACCAGGCATTGTGCTGAGCTCTTGAGAACTTTCTCAGGGAGCGCACAGGACGTTAGACTTGCACGTCGGTGGCAAAAGCGATAGGAACGCTGATCGATGTTTTGGGAGCACCCAGGAGGGACACATACACAGATTGGCAGCGTTAGGTAAGACTGCGAGATGAGTGAGAGGTATGATTTGGTGGGAAAGGCCAGGGAACAGGAAAAACCACCATAAGGGACCTTTGAGGAAATGTCAGGAAAATGAGCAACTGAGAGAGATGACAGGAGACAAAATAGGGACCAGATCTCAGTTTGGACTTCATCCTAAAGATAAATAGCAATTGTTGGAGGGATCTGGGGACAAGTGGGATAGGAGGAGACTTGTTCACTAATTTTGTACATATGTGTATCTCCACCACCCAAATCAGGGTATATACATACCATTTCCAGCACCCAGTAGGATTCCCATGGGGAGCTTCCCATCTCTCTTGTGCCCCCAGCCATAAGCAGGTATCACATTGTATACTCCTCCACATCTGCCTTTTGTGGCTCAATGTAATGTCTGTGAGCTTCATGTATATTGAGTGTACCAGCGACTCATTCTTTTTATTACTATGTAATGTACAGAAAATTCATGAAAACTTTGAAATGGTCCCCAAAATATTCTTGTCCAATGAAAAATAAGGTGTTGTCTAGCACACACTCAGGGATATCGGATTCTATGCGGGCTCTACACCGTTCATTGTCTTTGATATAAAGAACAACTCTAAGGTTTTTTCAAGAAATGGTTCTTGTCTAGAAAAATGCAAATTGTGTCCAGTGGAATGCATTTAATTACTGTCGATTTCTTCAGTCCTGCCAGTTTTTCATCTATTTGTAAATATTTCATTATTTCTCATTTAATTATAGTTTATATGTGTGGTCCTTTGAATTTCCCTTTGAATCACTTGTACTATCTTTCTGGATCTCATTAGAGTTAAACCTTTGACATGTGCTTATTTTATATCTTTAAGAGAATCATGATTTGGGGTGCCTGGCTGGCTCAGTGGGTTAAGAGAATTATGATTATACTTGACTTTATAAAAATTATTCTTGGGGCGCCTGGGTGGCTCAGTGGGTTAAGCCTCTGCCTTTGGCTCAGGTCATGATCCTGGAGTCCTGGGATCGAGCCCCACATCGGGCTCCCTACTCAGCCGGGAGCCTGCTTCTACCTCTCTCTCTGCCTGCCTCTCTGTCTACTTGGGATCTCTGTCAAATAAATAAATAAAATCTTTAAAAAAATTATTCTTTAACACCAGTACGCTATTGTATGAGCATGCCACAGAGGGACATTAGCATTTTTTCCCCCAGTAGCTGTTATAAATAAAGCTGCTATGGACATCTCTGTGTTAAGTCTTTTGTGATTGTATGCATTACTTTTTCTTGGGTAAACAGTTATCTAGGAATGGGATTTCTGGGCTATCGGGTAGAAACAGTCATGTTTCCAAAGTGGTTGGTATCATTTTATACTACCACTAACACTGTGTTACTGTCCCATTATCTGCATCCTTGCCAACACTGAAATTGCCAATCCTTTTCATTTTAGCTATCCTGCAGGGTGTATAATGGTATCTCATTGTTGCTTGTTGTTTTGGTTTTTTTTTTAAGGTTTTATTTATTTATTTTACAGAGAGAGAGAGAGAGAGATCACAAGTAGGCAGAGAGGCAGGCAGAGAGAGAGGGAGAAGCAGGCTCCCCGCTGGGTAGAGAGCGGGATGCGGGGCTCAATCCCAGGACTCTGAGATCATGACCTGAGCTGAAGGCAGAGGCCCAACACTCTGAGCCACCTAGGTGCCCCTATTTTTGGTTTTCTAAAAAGATTTTATTTATTTGACAGAGAGAGAGAGAAAATGAGCAAGGGGGAGGAGCAAGAGGAGAGGAAGAATCAAGCCTCCTGCCAAGCAGGGAGCATGATATGGGACTCTTCCCAGGATCATGACCTGAGCTTCAGCCACTTAATACCCAAGCGCCCCCGCTGTTGTTTAGTTACCCACAGAAGGTTTTTCAGGAGGGAAGTAAGTTAAACGGCTTTCAGAAAGCTCTTTCTGGTCATTATGTGGAGATCGACATTTGTATGCCAGCGCTCACAGCAGTGTCATTGATAATCGCCAAAAGGTGGAAACAAACCAGGTGTCCACTGGGAGATAAATGGATGAAGAAATATATACACGCAATGAGCATGCATCAGTCTCAAAAAGGAATGAAATTCTGACACACGTAACAATATGAACCCTGAAGACAGCACGTTAAATACAACCAGCCAGGTACAAAACAACCACTATTGTAGGATCCACTCATATCAGGTACCCAGAACTCAGAGACAGAAAGTGAGATGGTGGATACCAGACAGAATTTATGTTTGGGATGATGAAAAACTTCTGGAGATAAAAAAGTTCTGGAGATGGATGTTGGGGATAAAAAAAAGTTCTGGAGATGAATGTTGGGGATAACAACCCCAACATAACACTGGGTAACACTGTGAATGGAATGAATGCTAATGAACTGTACACTTAAAATAGTGATGGTAAATTTTATGTCATATACACTTTTGCCGGTGTGCGCACGCACACACACACATGGACACACAGATACACACACGAGCCTGGTATTCTGCGTCTGAGTACTGAGCAGCGGCTCCTGTCTCAATTGTACCTGCAAAATTCTAATTCATGCAAGTGCCCGAATGAGGACACAGAAGATTTTATGAGTTAATGTTTCCTGAAAGGAGGAAGCACGCCTCACAGGGCCACATGGGAAAGCAACAGGTTTGGTCAGGATGCAGAGAGGAACAAGGGAAAGCCTAAGCCAGAGCCTTATTGGGGTGTGTGCAGGCAGGGCAGGGAAAATAGCTTAGGACTGGCTAGTGTGAATAGTGCTGGTGGGCTGTGGGGCACAGGGGATATTCCCAGATATCTAGTACCTGGCCCTGAATGGATTTTGGCTGGGGGAAACACTGGGATGGTGTGTGAGAGTCAGAGAAGGAGGGGGCTCTGGTTATGGACTGGAGATTGGAGGCAGGGTTTGTAATAGGACTTTACTGCGCTGGAAAAAGCAAGATCACAGACTTTAGCTATTCATGGGTGAAGATATGTCAAAAGGACAAATACTGGATCAAAAAAACACAAAGAACAGTTGGCCCGGTGGCTATCTAGCACCATTTCGGTGGAACTTTTGGGTGATGAGAGCAGAGACTTTCAGGAAGTAGGGCCCAAGTTCCTCCATACAACACAGGAAACATTTTACTCTGAGCGTGAAATGGAGGGACAGGTGACATATAAGAGTCCTTCTCGGCCAGCCCATAACCAGGTTTTCCATTTATACAGCATTAGCCAAAACAAAAACAAACGGGAAATTTTTGGAGTCTCTAACAATATTTTGGTCAAATTTGTAAAATGTATTAAAAACAAAAGTTTGGGAGCCTGGGTGGCTCAGTTGGCTAAGCGGCTGCCTTCGGCTCAGGTCATGATCCCAGAGTCCTGGGATCGAGTCCCACATCAGGCTCCTTGCTCAGCAGGGAGCCTGCTTCTCCCTCTGCCTCTGCCTGCCTCTCTATCTGCCTGTGCTCACTCTCGCTCTCTCTCTCTCCCTCTCTGACAAATGAATAAAATCTTTAAAAAAAAAAAACACAAGTTTGACAATAATGTCTTGGTGTAATTCTCAGGTCAAGTCTATTTCTCAGCAGTTACGTTACTGGAGGGTATGAGCTGATATCTAGAAAAGCACAACGGATCTGGAAAGTCACAGACTCAAAGTCTGTGAGAGCCTCTATTTCCAGGAAAGCCCAGTGTGTAACCAGTTACTTGTTCGTTTTAATTTGTGCGTCGCATGAGGCTAAGAGAGAGAGTTTCTTGTACCACAAGCTCTTGGGCAACTTACGGCCATCACAAGTAGTCTAGAAACTCCAGGAGACGTAAGAAGTTGCTGAAGATTCTACAACAGTGAAGGAGCTTCTGAGGGCACTGATGGGAGGGGCTGTTGATTTTACTTTGGAAGTAAAATCTGTAAATGAGGAATATGTCGCCACC